GAAGCCCTCTTCTGACCTCTGCGGCATTGCATGAGATGGGTGCACTCACATACATGCAGGCAATACACTTATACACATAAAATAAAAATAATAAAATATTTTTAAAAAATAATAGTTATATATAAGGGACAAACACCAAGATAAGAAAATCAGAAATGGAAAAACTATATAGATTAAGGAAAAGCTCTTACACCAAGTCCCAAGCAATTCAGTCAAAGAAAGAAACTGCACGGATGGTCTAATCAGCTTTGCTTCATGAAAAGAGACAACAAGAAAACAATGTATTTTTAGGATCTAGAACATTTTTAGGAGGGGTTTACCTGCATGCTAGCGAACGATATAGTGCTTTATACACTTCACCCTGATAATTAAGAATGCATCAAAAAATTTTAAGTGTGCCTGTGTACATCTGTGCATATGTCTGGGGGGGGGGTACATGTGCATGGTAAAAGTATGGAACTCAGAGGACAACTTTGTGGAGTCTCTTCTTGCCTTCATGGGGGTTCTGGGGATTGAACTCAGGTCTCAGGGCTTAAACTGCAAAAGCACCTTTATCCATTGAGCCATCCTGTCAGACCATGAAGAATGCATTAAAAAAAAAAAAACATGGAGTCATCTCTTACAGTCAGTCCTAATAAAAAACTCCCAGAAGTGCTATTGTATAAAGTTTCTCTCAACCAATGATATTTTTAAATTTGGACAACATCAAGAGATCTAAGCATGGGCAGTATAAAGATACCAAACTAAAAGAAAAATCGTTTATGCTCTCAGGGTATCGGAATGAAATATTGGGATAAATTTCTTATTTAGAACTGTGTGGCTAAACTAAGTCTCAAGCTCAATTTTGCAACTTTTTTGGTTTGTGTTTGTTTAATTGCTGGGTGTGGAACCTGTGACCTCAGAATGCTTGACAAATGGTTCACTACTGGGCCATACCCTCGGGCCTCAACACATCATCTGTTGAACGCTTTTTCAGCTAAATCTCAATTTTCAGCTTTTCCTGCAACCTTTGCTTCTAACAGTTTGATGAGCTCAACAATTGGCAGGATTTGGCCTGAGACATACCCTGGATTATGATCTGCTCTAGAGGTGATGGCGACCAGAGACAGTATTTACAGTAGAACTAGTGGCTGGGCCAAAGAACCAATGACCCCAAAGCAGAAAATGTTCACTAAGCAGCCTGTGGCAGAAAACATCTGCCAACTCCTTAAGTGAGTCACAGCCAAGAGTAGTCTTGATTTATCATATCCTGCTGTGGTCAATAACTCTACATACTGGTTGGGATCAAGCCCGTCTATGCTGGAACATCTAAAGGGACATGAGACCCCTCTGGAAATTAATCAGGGGTTTCCCACAGAGTTGAATAGAAACCACATAGATAATGAAATGAGGCAAGACACTTTTAGGGAGCCCAGATCAAATAAACGAGAAAACAAGTATAAAAACAAATCTATTCCCTCCATGATGCATTCTAGAACCAAACAGACTAGGTGAGATTAATGACAAAACTGCACAAATAATATTCAACTTATGAAAGTTCTACCAAAACCCTTGTTAAATGGAAGAATAAGAAGTCTGTATCTAGCCGGGCGTGGTGGCACACACCTTAATCCCAGCACTCAGGAGGCAGAGGGAGGCAGATCTCTGTGAGTTCAAGGCCAGCCTGGTCTACATGGTGAGTTCCAGGACAGCTGGGGCTACAGGGAAACCCTGTCTCAAAAAAACCAAAAAAAAAAAAAAAGAAGTCTGTATCTCAGAAATGTATCAACATAATTTAGCAAAATTTGAGTAAAGACTGAATTCAATCAGGCCAAAAAGTAACCTCTTCTTAACTGAACACTATCTACTAAATCAAATAGAACTATTAAGGGATCAATTAACAAGTGAGATGGAAAGGCCTTGGAGAGATGCCCCAGTGGTTAAGAGCCCTGGCTGCTCTTGCAGAGGACTGGGGTTGGGTTCCTAGCACCCAGATGGTGGCTAATAACTGTCTATAACTCCAGTTTCAGGGGATCTGATACCCTTTTCTGATTTCTATGGGGACTGCATAACACTGGTGTGCTTACATACATGCAGGCAATACACTCATACACGTTAAATAAAAGTAATACATTTTTTAAAAGTGAGATGGAAATGTTACTGTAAATGAAGAAAAAATGAGGGTAAAGGGGTATGGGGGTATCTTCAAAATACAATATACACTTGTATGATAACTTAAAAATAAATAAATGAGCTGTGTGTGGTGGCACACACCTTTAATCCCAGCACTTGGGAGGCAGAAGCAAGTGGATCACTGTAAGATCAAGGCCAGCCTGGTCTCTAGAGCAAGTTCCAGGCTAGCTGAGGCTACAGGAAGACACTGTCTCAAAAAACCAAAAATAAAATAAAATAAAATAAAATAACGATAAATGAATAAAAATAAACTTCAAATTTCAGACTGAAATGGCCTACAGAAAGATTCTCTCTGTAGGATGCTCAGTGCCTGGACAGAGACCCTCTTGATACCAAGTGAACATTCAGCATCTATGGCATTTAAATGGGAGTGTATTTCTTCTGCCCCCTGAAAAAATATGAGTCCCAGAAAAGGAAATTTGGCTTTCATTCATCAAGCTGTATTGGGCTGTCTGAAAACTTCCAATTTTAAAATCAAGAATGCGTTTGATTTCCAACCAAGGTCAAGAGAACACGGCAGCCTAGCACTGACACCCCAGAGCTGTGCCCACAGCACTCAGCAGTGACATCAATGTGGCATGTTGCTATGGTGCCTGACTATTAATTCGTGAAAGAAGGTGATTAGACAGGCGCCAGGTGAACATCAATTGGATGCCACCACTTCGGCACAGAACACTGACATGCATTACCCTTGTTTGTGGCAAGTTAATTTTATGAATCACCACTTTGGTGATGGGATATTCCTTTCTCATGTTAAAGCCACCACATCTACAAGCAAAGATTAATTACAGGTCAGCTTCAACAAACAGGAAAGTATGATACTGTTTAGGGGAAAAGTACACACACAGTCTATTTCTTAAGGGCAATCTTTTAAGATTTCTAAGGTATGCTGCATGTACATTTACTCACAAATACAAGTATATTTGCCAACTACAGATAAGAAAACACCCAAATTCAGAGCCCTCAAAGGTGATAAAGTTCTAGGTACCACTCTACTAATTACATTTGAATTTACCTTTTTTGTTTTTGGCTTCTGTAACACAATCTTCGGTTATAGTCACCTCAAAAGGTCACTTCTCACCCTGAAAACAAAACAAAACAAAACCACATCACAATCTGAATGTCAAGGAAGTGGCTCAGTGAATGCCCAGGATCCACACAAGCGAAAAGACAAGGCTCTCAATTGTACGTACTGGCAATTGACTTTCACAGTTCACAAAAGCCAGTTCAGGACCTCCACTTATCTGGACCACGTGTCTTTGAAGTCTTTAAGGCCATAAAATCAACAGGGATGGAAAAAGTCAAGGTGAAACATTTCAAATTCTGCATGTGAACTCTTTCTCCCCGTGCCATCTATCAATTCACTTTCGTGTGGAAGAATACATGACTCACAGGGCCTGTTTTTGGAAACCAGACTGCTTACTTGAACGTGTCTCTTTGGTTCATAACCAAAGCATCTCTAATTTCATTAGCGCACAGGACTTACTTTTTTCCTCTTTGGAAGAGAGCTCTCACTTGTAGACATGACGCTTTCTGCCACTCTGAACCTTTCAAAATGATTTTTTTTAGAGTTCCATTTTCAATTTGGGAAAAGGGCATGGGGTTAATTACTGGTGAAAACTGTTCACAGAATACTTTTCACTTAATCTATATCTACCAGATCTACTTACTACGTTAGATAAAAATGGTTCATGCCACTCGAAATAAACAATTGAAATCAAGCTTTGTAAAACACAAAAGAAGCATGTAACATAATTCAGCCTATATCTCCTCCAGCGTCTGCAAGCTCCTGTGTGCAAAACCACACATGACCCTTTGAGAAACAAGCTGCCTCTCCCTGCCCATGTACCTGGAATCAGTATATGGTCCAAGATAAAGAAAATCATGTGCTTAATTATTTAGATCAAGTTAGTAATAGGCCACAAGTTTCATTCCATCCCCACTGACCAAATGCTAGAATTGTAAGATGGTGAAATCCTATAATTTTACCAATATGTTAATGTTTTTGCTCACTCTTTACAATGATATGTAGTGGAGTGGTTTTATTTTACTTGAGTAGATCCCTATTCACCCTCTGCTGTCAGCCCTGAATGGCAAACGATAAAAGCCTGGAGAGAGTGAAAGCCTTCCTTCACTAGGGCTACGCTGTGAAGTGGCACTTTGGTGCCTACCCTCTTTGAGGAAATGATCTGGGGCCAACTTATGACATTTCAACAAGCAAGTGTGTACAGATTCTAGCCTTTCAGGTTGGAAAAAAAGATGCAGGCTCTGAGTGATATCAGAATTTTCATGTTTACTGTTAGAGGAAATTGGAGGTTTTCATCATAAATCTTTACCCTTTGGGTGGGGGAAAACCCTAGTGCTGGGACTTAAAACTACTGCTCTGCAACCTGCCCCCCAACTTTTTTTGTTTTTACACAAAACAATTCAAATTGAAAATGAAAATCGTGTGCTTTCCTGCTGATGTGTGTCCTCAGAATTGCCTTGGCTGGTGGGGGGGAGACTGCTTCATGATAAGCGGTGAGAAGAAAGGGGAATAGCAGTGCTGATCTGGTGCCAAGGGAAAGCTAAGACCCCTGAGCCACCCCTACGCCACACCAGGGTGAGCCACCACACCAGGGCGAGCCGCCACACCAGGGCGAGCAGCACCTCTGATGCTAGAAATTTCTAAGACAACCACTCATCGAACTTTAAAAAATTAATATTATTATTGCTATTCTTACTATTTTCAGTTTGGGACCAAGATTGGGGTCTTCCACATGCTGGGAAGTGCTCTAGTGCTGAGCTTCGTGTCCAGGACTCATCAAACCTTAAACAGCAGGTGGACTTTGGCAGACCCTGCTCCATTCAAAGCAAAACACTTCCTCCTTTTTTCTTGAGACCTTCTTCAATGCATGTGCTCTAAACTGCTCTAAACTAATTTATACGTTTATCTATTGAGCCGGGTTTATTTTTGCATGTTTGGCAGAAGGGCCTATAGTATTAGACTTTGCAATGCAGATGAGATTCCCTATCATATAGGCCTGGCAAACAACTGGACCTCATTAAAATTTAATTTCCAAAGAAAAGTGCTGAAAAGGCCTAGTGTGAACAAAGTTATCTCTGGTGCTGCATTCAAACCTTCAGCACAATTTCAGGTAAGTATGAGGCGTGTTTGTCCACTCAGCGGCCTCCACAATACAGTAAGTGAAGGAGGAGCTTTTAAAAACCCACTGGTTCACCCTCAGAATTTAAGTGTGCTTTTCCTCTGGGGAGGTAAAAACAATAACACCACAATCATACTACTGACCCTCCGACGTACACAGACTGAAGTAGCACGAAATTGGCTACATTTAATTTTCACTTATGCATCAAGTATCCGCAGCGAGATGTAAAATGCATTCCATAAATTTTAATGCGCACGCACATCTGACCACTCATTAATTTATTTCTGTTGATTTTAGTTTTTAGAAAAAAGTATCCATTAGCAAAGTCATCTGAACGATATTTTTCGGGTTTTGCCTAGGAAAGATTAATAGTTCAACAGCTGTTTGCCATCATGCGGAATTAAATGAAATGTGTCAATACAGAAGACAAGAAAATTAGGGGTTAGTACTGGGGCCTGAGCTGGTATCATAAGGCGCTTGGAAGAACTGGAAATCAACAACTCAGAAGAAAAACGTGCAATTCGCTTTTTCCCAAAGCATAAAACTTCCGTTTCCCAAACTGCCTGTCAGCTTTCCATCATTTTTACTGATCAAATATATCAACTATTTACCTGATTACCAGCATCTTAAGCACCAACTAAAGCATTATGTAAAGCTTTTAAGTTAAAAAAAAAAAAAAAAGAAAAAGACACCCTAGGTAAAAGAAATATATTCCCCTCCAACCCACTTGTCTTGTTAAAAGAGGCTATCACCATACCAAATGCCACTTCATTTTCTTTTTCTCTCTTTTAAGATTTCCTACTGACTTTAGGTGTTAAAAGTAAGCTGGGCGTGGTGGCTCACAGCACTCCGGAGGCAGAGGCAGGCGGATCCTCTATGACTTAGAGGCTACCCTGGTCTACAGAGTGAGTTCCAGGCAGCTGGAGCTACAGGGAGATCCTGTCTAAAAAAAAAAAAAAAAAAAAAAAAAAAACAAAAAAAAAAGTAAGCCAGCATATATATATATAATAGAAATTGATTCCTTTCCTCCCTGGCATTCTCTGTCACAGTTAAAATTCCATGAACACTAGAATTTTCCATGGCCTCTTCACTAGCAAGGGTCACTTACCTGAAGTTACAGGGTAACTTCCCCCACCCCCACCCCCACTTCACCTGCTACCACTAAGGTTAGAAATCCAACCACCCCAAGTGCCTTCTTTCTCTATCTCCCCAGCACTCCCTCCTCCCTCTGACATGTGCTGTGCCGTGCCCTTATATCACTGTTGTGTGGCAAAACTGCCCTAAGTTTTGTTCTTCACTGGGCCTGTGAGATACATAATGCCAGCTAGCAGCTGCCTTGTGCTACTTAGTACTGAGTCACAGGTAAGTGTGATGGTGAGATCTCATTTCACAAGGCTGTGAAATGAACAACATAGCTTCTATTTTTCTCACTGAAAGTGGTTCGCCCTTTTCTTTCATGAAATCTAGAATAAGTGATCACCATCAAGATTCCTGCATCTCTTTCCCAATTCATATCCACCCAAAATCAACTCTGGAAGGTGACCACCAGTATCCATCTCAAGTCTCCGTCCAGCTCAGGCTGGTAGAGAACCCACTGTGTGTCAGTCTCTCCAGGGACATGAGGTGAGCCAAGCCAGGCCAGGGGTATGATGAAGGAGCAGTGTGACAGGTACAGGGCACCAGGACCCCTTCTTTCCCTGAAATACAGAACATGGCTCAAATTTCCCACACTCCCACATCCTCCTACTGAGCAACACTGACTTCACTTGTGAAAATCGGTCCAAATGGGCCAATTTCCAAGAGAGTGCTGCCTCTTTAAGTCGTCAATCTAAACTCATTTTGGCTTTCCTCTCTTATTTTTCAATGATTTCTTAGAAAACAGAAGGATATCAGCACATGTTTGACTGGTTGAAAAATGATAACACAAGGGTCATTTTATTTTCTGCACTTAAGAAATTCCACTTAGGGATCACCCCCAAAGCCTTTGCCCAGGCTCTTGGAACTTTAAATATCGAGTCAGATTTAACAAAAATTCAAAGAAGGGAAAGTAGAAAGACAAGGTGTGTGTGGGGGGGCAAGGAACAGTGTCAAAAGAGAATCAAAAGGAAGGAGACAGGAAATAAACTACTGTGCCCTCTGTCCAGGATTTTGTAGCCAGGGATGGCCTTAGACACCACTCATGGCGGTTGACTTATAAATGCTGTATTTCCTTTACTGGTCTCTACTCAAGAACTGTCCTAGTATCTACCACTACATCAATTACCCAATCCCCCTCCTGTCCCTGGCAGAAACATTTTATTACTGCCTTTCTCTTCACCCTCTGGGACCCTCGCCATATCATGGAGTCTAATTTTGGGGTCTGCTCTAGTAGACAAAACTTGAAAACCCTGTACAGAATGCCACCACGTGGTACAGGCAACCCCAGCCAACGCTTGCCTGAGGAAAAATCACTCCAGGCTGGCAGGCCCCCAGGAAAAATCACAACCACCGGCCTGGCTCATTTGGAAAACTCACTCTCTTACCTTCCTCTAAAGTAAAACCCTGGTCACGGTCATGTGAAAATATTTTATAGGTATCCTTTAACAACCTGTACATGTTGAAACCCAAAAACAATATTTGCTGTTTTGCCTTTGAAGCGCTAACAAAGCCTTTGTTTTAGATTTACCTTCAGTGCGCAATAAGAGTTAATAATCAAATCCATCCCAACCCCCACAAATGTTAAACAAAAAGATAAAAGAAATGCAAATAGCTATTGTCATGGAAAGTTAAAGTACCTGTCTGTATTTTTAAGTGAAAACTATTATCTCTATCAATCAAAATTTAAGAATACAATAGTGCTAATCACAGAAGGCGCTGACGGAGTTACTTCTTTCCCCTCATGAAAAAAAGTATTTTTCCTCTTAAAAACGGAGTATAAAAGTCATATACTTACAATT